GGGGGGGGGGGGGGGGGGGGGGGGGGGAGATGTGTGAGTGATTTTAAGGGCTTCCCAATCACTGACAAAAGAAGTGAAACACATTGTCAGATGACCAGGCAAGAAGATACTGATGACTTGGTCTAAAACTTAAAGACATTTAATTGACTGAAAACCACAGAGCAACAATGGCTATTGCAGCGATATAGAAATTGATGGCGGCCTTGGCTGGGTTGCAGCATCATCCTGATATGCCAAGGTTACGGGTTCGATCCCCAATGAATGCATAAATAAGTGGAACAACGAATCAATGTCTCTCTCTCTCCCTTTCTTTCAAATCAATAAATTTTTAAAAATGATGGAGGGTTGCATATACAAAAATTTATGTATAACTGAAGAGCTATTCAAGGAGAGTCTGAAATATAAATAATTTCATTTTATAGCTAAAGGTAACAATCCCACATAAAGTGCAATTTTCTGAACAATACCATGTGGTAGGTAGGATAATCGACAGCTCATTCCAATTCTAACAGAGGAAGAGGCGGGATCAAAGTCGCCAAGGTCCTGGCAGCTTTCCCTGAACCGTGCTATTTTTAAATGGTTCCTCCTTGGTTATCCAAGGACAGCAACATCACCCTCTTTTGTTGATGTGACTCTGAGAGAAGGGAGTGGGCACCGAGAACTGGAGGTTCGGTTGTCCGTTTTGCCTAAAACAATGGGATAAATGTCACTGTACTGTGAGAACCTAGAAGGGAGCCAAAATCAATCATGGGGTGAACAGCGCATCAGAGAAGACTTCCTGGAGGAAGAAGAGAATAGCCAGTTTGAAGGAAAAGGAGAGAGAAACAGAGTTCCAGGCAGAAGGAGCTTGTATGAAGGCTCAGAGGCAAGGAAGGGGAGCCACCAGTAACTCAGGGGGAATTCCAAGAGATAGGAAACATGTTAGGGGGCAGGTCATGAAGGGCTTTGCAAGCCATGTTTGAACATCCTCCTGAGAGTAACAGGTAGTCACTGAAGGCTTCTAGCAGGGGAGTGCGAGGTTAGGGCTTGCTTGTCAAATACTGAGAAATCCTATTTCAAATAAAAAAAAATAAAAAAGAGGAACAAAAAGAGCAAAGAGTGTGTTAAAGTGAGGCCAGAGAGAGCCCTTTCACATTAGCCAGCTCTGAAGGAGTTGGGGCGG